GGTCCGACTCACAACGTAATGGGACCAGAGCTTGTTCGGGTAGGTGGTGTCTGTTTCAGGCTCTTTATACGCTACTCAGGGAGTTAAGAACTTCATATGCACGTTTTCCCACCATGTTAGCTGATCGCATGCATCTGCCGCCAATCGCAGTTAGATTTTTACGAATTTACACTATATAGACCAGGGGTTACCAAGCTTGAGGCGGTTGGCAGCAAGCCACCGGTCAACATGTTTACTCACCCAGTTTTAGAGACAACCCGTTACACTCGGACCATGCATCAATCTGCTTGAGTTTATAATCCGTATACTTCTATCCCTCATGGCTCTGCTTAAGAGGTGACGGCCATCGGCCGGGAGACACGCGGATGAATGCCATAGCTTATTCGGAGCGTGCCCCACATTTCCATTCTTGTTAAATGTGGGGAAACATGCATATTAAATCTGCTCAAGGCGACGGCTGTTCGTCAGTCCGTTTCTCGCTGGTTACAATCATCCTATGAACCTAGCACTGTCACGAAAATTGTGCAATCCGTGTCACTCAGCAACGATTAGCACTGCCCTGGCACCTGTGATTGAGGTGATGGTTTGGGCAACATTTATAACAGGCGTAACTAGACCTGGGTTGCCAACTGGCAAACACCTGACACCATAAACTTACAAACACCTGTACCGACCAACAACAGCGACGACGCAGCATACGTGACGTTCCTGCTGCATTATCGACCTGGGTTAGTAAATTGATACGGAAGTCGCGTAATTACGTTGCGGTAACGCTTTAACTTATTTGTCTTCTCTTTAACATTGGCTTACCAGCTAGGCTCGCCTGAAGCACGCACGACCGCATGTGCTACAGGACCAAGGATACGACGTCGATGGTTGGGGCTCCATCAGTACCTGTCGCTTGAGTGACCGGCGTTTTTCTTTCTGATGCACTTAGGTAAAGGCGTTCTTGATGTGGTCATACTATTTGCGGCAATTCACTGTCGCCTATTCCTAGCACCTATAGTCAACATTAGTTCGCAGTAAACTCACGTTGATCATGCCATAAAAGTGTAACTTCGTTTTGCCTACCTTTCGTTTACATATGCTCAGTTGGCTATACGATAGGTGATTCCATGTTATAGTTGCTTCCATACAACGGACATGTCCAAGCCACCTGAGATATCGCAGTAGCAGCATTCGATCCATTCTGCTTGGACGAACCACTTCCGAGCCACGTTCTCTGTCACACCAATGGGTGTGCAGAATCCGACGCAGCCACTACCAATGAAATCGCCATCTGCAAAATGTTCTGTGTATGGTTCGTGTTTCGCTGACGTAAAGAATAACTGGCGTTGCTGTCTGTTTATAGACCGTCTGCCTGGTCCCGGCGGTTAGGTAACAACTCTCCTAATCCTATGTTCTAACGTTGGCTGGTCGAACAACCTCCACTTGGTATCAACTGGGTGGTTCGGGTTAATCCCGCTCCAGCTAGTAGTCCGGTGGCAGTGTTACAGTACGTGGTGGGTTTTCGCCTGACAAGCGTTCCTATAAAAAGCTATATATGTCTGCTTTACTCCCAGGAGAACGACTTCTTGACTTGGAGTATGCAGACGACCTTGCCCTAATCTGTGACAGCTCCCAGACGTGCCAAGCCGCGCTGGACAGATTAGCACTGGCTGTCAGTCGCTTCGGTCTTTGCTTTGCACCACCGAAGTGCAAAGCGTTCCTCCAAGATTGGCAGGGATCGCCCCCTGTTCTGACCCTTGGTGGGGATCGGCTAGAAGTCGTTCAGAAATCCAATTACCTGGGAAGTTGTATCAGCGCCCTTGGAATCGAAGACGAGATCACGAACCGTATAGCGAAAGCTCGAAGTGCTTTTGCTAACCTTCGCCACCTATGGCGGCGGCGCGACATTACTCTCGCCCTGAAGGGTAGAGTGTACAATGCAGCGGTACGTTCGACTTTACTGTACGGGTGCGAAACCTGGCCCCTAAGATCGGCGGACATGAAGAGGCTAGTTACGTTCGACCATCAGTGCCTTCGCAGTTTGGCTCACATCTGGTGGGAACACCGCGTGAGTAACGAGCGTGTTTTACGCCTTGTTTACGGCCCAGGAAAAGGGAATGAACCGCTCAGCACCGTTATTTCCCGCACCAGGTTCCGATGGCTGGGCCACGTGTTGCGCATGCCAGCCCACCGACTCCCTCGACGTGCGTTGTTTGCTCACCGAGGATGTGGGTGGAAGAAGAGGAGAGGTGGCCAAGTGATGACTTGGTCCAGAGGAATGAAGTCCCTCACTTCAGAGCTAGCCTCGGTTGGAGCTTCACGGCTCCCTGGTTGGGGTCCAAAAGACGGTGAACACGTTTGGCTGGATACAATTGCTGACATGGCAAGGAGCCGACCTCAGTGGCGTTCGTGCTGTGAGTTTCTTTGTCCCTCCCCATCCCTTTTAGCCTCCCCCTCCATCTACGATCTCCTTTCGTAGGGTAAACAAATTAAATTTTTTTGTTTTTGCCTAGTAGCTGGCCGGTAGCTTACGGGAACGATGTCTATCCGTTCCTGGTAGCTCAGCTGGCATGCAACCGTCGTATTTATTTTTCCTTTATGTATTTTATGTATGTATTTCATTCATGTATTGGGGTACAATAGCGGAGGTGTTTTACCACCTCTAGCTGACATGTATAGTGATGATGATTACAGCACTGACGTGGCGGATATGACTCGCCACTAAATAAAGTCATTGCCTCTTGCTGTACCGGAAGATCTTACCCATTTCGCGAACGTCAACCACTTCAAAGATTTCATCTAGTTTCTTCCCATATTGGCGAATTCACCGAACAAACTCACAAATTCACGGTACAAGTAAAAAATTCCCTCAACACGATGACTTACACATGCACCCACATACATACACACATATCCAATATGTACTGGTTAACTTGTAACATTTCTGTACCATTACTGATGTCACGCGTTTGTATTACCATGATTGTGCCTATGAAAGCGTGTCTCTCACCGTCGAGGATAAATCATTTATTTACTTACAAGAAAAACCCCAGACTATTAGTCAATACCTGGGAGTAGTGGACAATTGATTTGTTCAAGAATTTTAGATCGACAGCTGATTTTAGCGCCTTAATGAGCACCCAGATGGCTCTGAGGTGATTGTTTCTCGTTACCCCGACCATGGTCTTGAAGTCACCACAACCACCATCGATATGGCATATCACGTATCAGCACTACTGAATGGAACAGGGCGCATGATCCAGACTTTCTCCATTTTCGCCGATAAATGATGAGAGCTTGGAGACTAGCACAACACACCACTATACATCATGCGACTACACAGCCCAACACGCTCAGCTAAGCTAGATCAGTTCATACCACGGGATTGCCAGCTCGTATGCCAATGCGTATGAATGTGAACCACGCTGTCGCGGATGAGTCAACGCAACAGGTCGGTGACACCCTGCACTATTTGCATAGCGGTTGGTTTTGTCCAACTGCATATCGATCAAAGCCTAGTGTGAATTCTGCTTTTTGCGGAAAGCTACTCGTAAGCTCACCAGTAACTGAGTTACCCATCATGCTCGATACCATTTGCGCCAAAAAGTTGCTATCTAACAAGTGACTATCTCCCACTTCTAGGATGTTACCGTCTGTTTTATAATAATACATTTCACTTCAGTTACCTCCAAGCTACTCGTGCATTGTATTTCTAGTCTTATTGATATTTAGTAGATTTTTCCTTTACAACACTTATACCACGTTCATTGCCTGAATAGCCCCGTATATGGAACAGTCTATCATAGCAGTAGTCTTTAATTTGTTGGCTGTATGCTGTAAGTGAGATCGCACTTGATTTCCCGCTATCTTTGAATAGGGTCTTGGATAAACTCTCCATTCTTATGAACTTCCCATATCTCGACTCTTAGGTGTGTAATGTTCTGCGGGAAGTTATTCATTAATTTCACCACCGTAAGTTCCGTTTGTAGGAGCAACTCTTCCCCCTTTCTTCTTTTTCGAATACATGCCTGAGCTAGTGGTGCTACCAAGTGATCAGCCAACCAATTTATAGTACCCAGCTACATAACCTTCCTGAGGTCATACCCATCTATTATTCGAGCGTTCCTGTTTCAACTGATTCATGCTGTCACAGTGGTATGTAATTCACAACTCCAAGGTGCAAAGTTTTGTTAACTGTCTGACCTGACACAATATCAGATCTCACACATCGAGTGTTTACTGGAACCAAACAGTCGATTGGCCTGTTGTAGGTGACTGTATCACTTTTAATATCGCATTATCGATCAGGCTATTGCGCATCTGAAAACCTTATGCTGCCGTTTGATGCCTCAGTTATTTACAGAGATGGTGGTTTAGTTTGAGGTCATTGGTCAAAGTTAGTGTGTTCAGCCATGCAACGCTACCAGTGTTGTTTTGTGAATCAAATGAACCACTCCCGTTGCGGCGAACGCTAAGAGCTGGGTCGCGCTGTAGCACCACTATCTGCGTTGGCGCAGTAATCTTAAGATTCGTCGATTGGTGTTTAAAGCCAAACCCCCTAGTACCCTACCGAGGCGTCTACTGAACTGATTCTGTTTATCTTGGTTCCTTTTCTCAGTCTTTCTGCCCATCGGCTTTCTCTACGTGTGCTCTATCAGTAGTATTCCTAATCAGCTTAACCCATGAGGCCACACCAAGGATTAGGTGCACGAAATAATAGTGCGTTGTTGATGCTTTTGAAGTTGGTCTTTTGGTTCTTTCTCCTTTTTATCTCTGCCGAGTGCTTTTCTTGTTTTATATTTCTCTGTTTATCTCCCTCATCCTCCACAGTTAGGGAATTTCGTTCTCGTTATGATGCGAATCATGACAACTGCATTCGCTAAACTATGATCCTCTGTTAAACTAGACAGAACTACCCCGCAGTAACAGTGCCAACTAACCCTAATTTATTTGCCACTAACACTTTTTCTCAATGTTCATAGTTTGTAACATCGTTACAATTTTGTTTTCAGAGCCGAGGCTAGTTTACCTCACTTGGTTGCACTCAACCCCTACGTCCGCGTCTCTGTGGAGCGCAGAAATCTAACCACCATCCGCAGTCCATTGGAGCACAAAGCAAACGAGGAACTCCTTCAGGCATTGGTTGCTAACAACGAGGAACGATCACGCAATGTAGAAGTAAGTAGATGTGCCATCTTATCGTTACATGGGGTCCTTACCATCCACTGTATTACCATCATGGTGATATCCACCTAGGCACCTTTTCAGAGCCAACTAGTGCAATATCAATATGGTATCTGACTGTGCTAAACCGTAAAAATCCAGTTCATCGTTTTTCGGATGGTGTGGCGCTCTTTTACCTTGGCAACTTCGATTTTCTCCTCCATTTATGTTAGGAATTTTATCGACGGTTTCAGTCAATCACCCTTTTATCGATCATATGGTGCGTACTGCGGAAGAGTCGCACCTCCGTCTCTCACTATCTCCTCGTTACACTAGTTTCGCCCTCGCTAAACGCTTTTCTCTATTGTTCTCGTGACTTAGTTTCCCAGTCAATCATTAGTCTGGAACTAATGCTAATTGTCTTGTTCTTCTCACTGGTGAGCTAGTTGACGTTTTCGAGTTTTTTCCCCTCTATTTTCTCGACTAACCGTATACGCGACGGTAGCCTGCTTTTCGGTTTTACACCTGTTTGTCCCCACGACTGGAAGTACAAACCATTTGGATGCAAGACCAACTAAACCTAGATTGTTGTTAGCACCTCGATACCATCGACGTAGGTGCTGCAGCTCGAGAGAGACACGCAATTACAGTACTCTTTTGGCCTTATCCCACTCATAGTCTGAAATCTAAACTTGACCGCGTTTTATGAAAACGTACTCGCTTCTCACGTTTTATCTTCACCTTAGAAAGTTTATAAACCTCGGTTCTGTAACCGATATTCAATTACGCCTCAACGTAGTGAACTTCATCTTGTGTAGTCATCACACCTTAAAGACAGTCGCAATGCCCTATCTGTACCCTGTTCGAGCTGAACCTTGAAACCACAGACTTAGTTACATCTTTCCGTTATGCAGGGGAAGTGACAGCAGTCCCCAACCAACCTCCTGTGAGGTAGATGATGTGACCCAGTTTTTCTAATCCCTAACCACTGCGTCGTTTTGAAGCATCTTGGGAGCGACAATCAACGTAACTCAGTGAATACTGGACTTCCACGGGCGAGGCCTCTGTTCAGAGTCACAAACATTCTGGAATCAATAATTAAAAAAGCAAGATCACATGCTTCAACCGAGCTAAGTTAAACCTTGGATATTCACTCGCTAACAGTATACCTCGGATTGAATGAGCAAGTGGTTGTGAATACCACAGCCACAAGACAATAGGGTCGATTAAAGTCGGTGCGCAGATCATCCACTCCATTTATCTGTAACAGCTGAAGTTGTGATTTCGGGTGATATTTCTGCGTCATGGACCATGACCACAAATGAGATTGCGTGAGACAATCCAGCAAAACAAAACCGCCGAAGATGAGGAAATTTCGACTGTCTTAAACCAATTAAGGCAGATGAACTTGACAAACGACTCATTACTTGAGCGTATAACTTCTGTCAACTCTCATCGTTCCAGGCTATAAGGGCTACCTAATATGCACAAGCCACCAGTCCCTTTACGTCCAATAATTGCTATGTTGGGTTCTGCCTTCCACGCAGTTGCAAAATGGATTGTCGTATTACTAGAACCTGTACGCAAAGAATTATCCACCTTGTAAGTAATAGATGGATTTCTTGGGTTTTTGTGTAGGTTCGTCGCAGTTAAACACAGGCAGACAGCCACCACACATCCATGAAAGCACTAGACGGCCGTTTCGTCCTAGGGACTCTTCAGTAGCGCGCACCCTCCGAATCCTGCCTGATTCGAACCCACGACCTTACTCTTGCGAGTCAGCGACTTATGTCATTGAGCCATGGGCGACGGCAGCGGACGCCCATGACTGATATCAGTCATATCATATCCTTGTCTGTTACTGAGACTACGACCAGCGACTACACGTACGGAGGGAATATGAATGTCTTGCGCTGCATCACCCACAACTCCATCCACACGCCACATATCCACTGTAAACATTCTCATTACACTCTTTTGTTGCTAATGAGTGTCCAGCGCCTCGTTTATTGTAATATGTCCTACGCCGTTTATTCATGCCTATTTGCACCCGGCGACTTTACTTCTGTCCACTTTCTCTGCTTACGTAGTGCCTTATCGTGACACAGTGCCCACTACACGCCGCTGTCCTGCTGAATCTTTTCTGTCGGAAACACAATATTCGCGTAAGCTTTTAACTCTTATATTTTGTCATCACCAAACGTATCGATTACATGACTTTTTTCTATGTATCTCTAGTACGTTATTCCTTTTTACTTCGATTCCTCGGCTTACCGGTTATGCTGTACCGCCAGTCGTTAGTCTTCGGTTTCTGTTTTTGTGGTATTCATATCGAGCGGATCTTAGGGCCATAATCCGCCATCTGAACTTCTGGCTTCATTTTGTTCTTGTTCCAATCGATTGCATGGCGTTAGTGGAAGGATTGAATGTCAATACTCGTGATAGCTTAAGTAACCGGGATGATTGTGAGCACCTGTCGTCAGCGCTGCAGACGAACAGCGTCTTTGTATGGCACAAGACGGTCCAGTTCGTTGCCGGATGCGCAACGATTAAACAAGGAGCAACCTATGGGAAAAGTTCACCTTTGCAACTTGGTACTGCCTACAAATGGAATCCTATGGTCTGGTCAGTGGTAAGAGTAACTGATGAGGCATTTTTCTAAGGATTGTACTGCGCGCACCCTAGCGAATTCGTAAGTTTGACAAGCTTTCCATTCTGTGCCGAATAGGTCTGTTGCAGTCGTCACATCATTACCTCTAGTGCAGTGTTCTTAGGCAATAGTCAGTAGGATATTCGACACTTTTCTGTATAACGGCTGTTATGTCCCCATTATGCAGTAACTAACCGACTGTCGCAGTTGGATCAATATGTGAATTTCGGCTCGGATACAGTGCAAATCTGCATGCTTAGGACGGGCACATGGCGACAAGCACCGGAGTGATAACTTCTCACAAACGAACAACTTCCTGGGGGGCTCTTGAATTGTAGGACTTCACGTCTACTCTCCATGCAGCTTCTCCGCTGCTTGAGCCAAATTTTCCCCATTGCCATCGATGTGATTCCCAGGACATGTTTAATGGATTTATCGGCTCCAGCTTACCGAATGTGGGCATCATTGTATTCTTCACCATCTTGTTATACCCACCTTTGTCTTGACGCCCAATTTCTTGTCATAATATGGGACACAAAGGCTGTCCTCATTTTTTCCCACGATGACTGTTGCATGTTACCTCCACTTGCAAGCAGTCACATGGATGCTTCCCACCTACACGCTTGCCGAAAATCCACATGTTTTTATCAGTAAACCCATTTGACCTAATGAGCGACCTCTCATTCTGATCACTTTTTGCTGGCCCGACTGATTTGCATTCTTTCTCTTCGCATATATGCCAGTTCATTTACAGCGATGTTTACGGCGCCTTCGGTTTCCTCTTCTGTGATTTCGGCGTTAATTTCCTGATTAAAGATCCAACCGGAGAAACACCTAAAGAATTTTTTATCGGGCACATAGAAATAGTAAGTTATACCATGTAATACAAAACTGTTGTGCAACCGGTCTACCCCTTTTCATTCGTCTTTGAATGCTTTTCATGTTGCTCATCAAATTAAAGACGATATGTTTTACCCATCCGTCGGCATTGGGGTGATGCTCTTTAGAAATAGGATTGTCCTGTCTTGTAGTGTGCCCAGCTCGGTCCATCTCTCTATTACCGTTGCTACTGCTGCTGCCTCTCTTCTGTGCGGAATTGCCCTGTCTGAGCCGTCAGCCCCATTCACTAGTAATTGTTTCTATGTTGTCTACTTCTGATTATGCTAACTTTGTTTATATATACCTTCAGTTGAGCGAATCGGTCACCATTCGACTCCGGATTTATGGAAATCGGACGTCTGTCTTTTGATTTGTTCAAATTCACCACTCTGTTAATATTTTTGCCATGGTCTATGGTCTGTTTTATGGCGAAGCGCTTCGGGGTCATCTATTCAACTACACATTTGTGCACGGCTCACAGTCGCTACATTCGACTAAAGTGTACTGGATCGTTATATCCACATTCTTTATTGGTTCGTCAATTAGCGAAAAGTATCACACTTAACTACGCTTTGACTGTTCGTTTTCACCACTCACAGTTACCCTGGTGAACAGTCGGCGAAGGTTGACCATCACTGACATGTGACAGGTTCCCAACGGGACTTCGCACCGCGTTTCATGATGCTTTATAATCAATTATGGCCATGGTATCATTTCATGGCCTTTCGGAACTCAAAGGCCTGCACTGTGTCCTTGAAACATGTTAATTTCGCCACAGTTTACACACATTTTTCCCACCATCCTTTTTCCTTGTGCGGTATAGTCAAGCAGTTGGCTCCTCTCGTATGGTGCCGTTATCTAAATCACCCGAGCCACAGTAACCATCTTTCCAGTCCCTCTTTCTCTACATGGAAACTGCGAAGCGAGTTTTGTCTAACTCCCTCGTCTTTGTCTCCCACTTGAAAACGATGGCCCACCATTTAGCGATATATTTGCACCCCTTGTGCCTCGAGTCATGGACATTTGTAGTGAGTGCACATATTTGGGCTGCTTCACTTGACAGATCTTGTCGTCGGTATGAACTGTACTACCGGCGTAGCTTCACACGTGGTGGTCTACCTCCATTGGGTCTCAGATCAATTTGCCAGCTACTGGGTACGTCATTCACCGGTCGGTCACAGGCTGTGCACACCAACCCCCCATTCAACTGATGATCTTTCATGCAAGGTTTGGTCCGTTTCCATTCAGCCTTTACTCTATATGGCCCTTCCAAATGGCTAGGTCTGTTTAGCCTGCGCATGTTTCACTTTTAGTACCATTATCCCATGTGTTTGTTAGACTTGAATTTCCGTGTTTTAACAATATGGCGTTTTATTCGTGCTCGTGCATCATTGGAAAGTATTTTTTCTGCTGTTCAGTCACATTTATTTTTTTGACCTCTCACGGACATTTTCGGCTCACTTCTAGCTACGGCCGTCTCTCCTCTTTATGTAGCTAAACTCTACGCAGATATTGGTGAAGGTGTTCGCCGATCGACGGCATCAGTTAGAAACGGGTCAAGTGGTTGAATTCCGCGAGCTCAGCGGAATGTCGGAGCTAAACGGCAAGGCTTTCGCTGTTCAAGGTAACTGTCGTTCATTAGCTCTGTTGTATGTGTACATTCTAGTACGCACCACCGTTATCTTCTTCCACTTGACTGCATTACAGTGCCTCCTCCTCCTCCACTGGGATCTAGGTTAACAGCGGACGAACATAGATATATTGTGCCCCTAGCCGCATAAGCTGTTTACCTGCCGAGCTAAAGATTGTGGTTGACCGTTGCACTCCCAGACCTCCCTGCGGTCTTTCTCACTTGTCCAGCAATAAACTCAACGCACCTGTACCACCCCCATTTTCTTGTCCAGGTTTGTTTTACATCTCGCGTATATGCCCAACTCATCAGTCTTCTCGATTAGCTATGTTTACCAAAACCTTTTACCAAGTATATGATTTTAACCTTGCTTAAAAATCACAGAGCTGCAATGGTTAGCTTCTGGACTTCCTCGGCCCTCAAAGGTCTTCCTTTCTGGCAGCGTGTCCCCGTGACCACAGTGTTGCAACTGTGGTCGACAGGAATGATCTGAGGATAATCACTATGCTGGCTATTATGCGCTCTGTCTTGCTGGGGTTACCAGCGATTGTTATCTCCCCCACCTGCTCCTTTGATGAATTAATGCACATTATTATCTAATGCTCATTTCGCTGGTCAACATTTCTACCTACCATCCTTTTCATCGTGCGTTTGCTGTAATCACTTTATTGATCGTCGTCCATCACATATACATCATACACGTTAGCTAGAGGTGGGGAACACCTCAGCTACTGTGCCGCAATACATAGAAAAAAGGAGAAAAAAGAAATGCAACTGGTGCAAGCTAGCTGAGCTACCGGTAACGGATGGGCATCGTTCCGGTAAGCTACCAGCCGGCTGCTGTGCACCCAAAAAAAATTATTATGCAAAATTATATACGGCTAAGTAATGAGATCGTGGTTGGAAGGGGAGGCTAAGAGGGATGGGTTGGGACAAAGAAACTCACAGCACGAACGCCACTGAGGTCGGCTCCTAGCCATATCAGCAAGTGTGTCCAACCAAACGTGTTCATCGTCTTTCGGACCCCAACCAGGGAGCCGAGACGCTCCAACCGAGGCCAGCTCAGAAGTGAGGGCCTTCATTCCTCTCGACCAAGTCATCGCTTGGCCACCCCTCCTCTTCTTCCATCCACACCCCCGGCGCGCAAACAACACACGTCGCGGGAGTCGGTGAGCTGGCATGCGTAACACGTGGCCGAGCCATCGGAGCCTGATGCGTGAAATAACGGTGCTGAGCGGTTCATTTCCTCTTCCTGTGCCATAAACAAGGCGTCGAACACCCTCGTTGCTCACGCGGTGTTCCCACCAAATGTGAGCTAAATTACGAAGGCACCGGTGGTCGAACGTAACTAGCCTCTTGAGGTCCGCTGCTTTAATCGGCCAGGTTTCACAACCGTACAGTAGGGTCGAACGTACTGCTGCATTGTACACTCTACCCTTCAGGGTGAGAGTGATGTCGCGCCGGCGCCATAAGTGGCGAAGGTTAGCAAAAGCGCATCAAGCTTTTGCTATACGATTCGTGATTTCATCTTCAATCCCACGGGCGCTGATACAACTTCCCAGGTAGTTGAATTTTTGAACGACTTCTAGCTGATCCCCACCAAGGGTCAGCGTAGAAGGCGGTCAAGATCAATCTTGGAGAAACGCTTTGCACTTCGAGGGTGCGAAGCAAAGCCCAAAGTGACGGACAGCTAGTGCTAATCTGTCCCGTGCCCCGTGGCATGTTTTTGAGCTGTCACAGATCAGGGCAATATCATCAGCAAACTCTAAATCAAGAAGTCGTTCTCCTGGGAGCAGATCCACACCTTCTAAGTCATGTCCTGTGAACGCGATTTCCATGACTTCGTCAACAGCGAAGTTGAAGAGGAAAGGTGACAGCGGGCATCCTTGTCTCACGCCGCTGGAGATATTAAAGGGCGACGACAACTTGCCATAAGCATTCACTCTGCCCGAGCTACGCGCATATAATGCTCGGATAATATTCACATATTTCTCAGGTACACCTTTCCTGAGTAGACAGTCCCAAAGTGCATGTCTATCCACAGAATCGAATGCACCTTTGATATCGAGGAACACGACAACCGTGGGCCGCCAATATATGTGACGGTGCTCCAACAACTGACGCAAAGTGAAGATGTGGTCAATGCAGCTACGACCTCGACGAAATCCAGCTTGCTCTTCACGAATCTGGCTTTCACGAGTGCCAGTCAGTCTGTGAAGGATGACAGAGGCAAGCAATTTGGAGGCGATGAAGATCAGACTAATTCCTCTATGGCTGCCGCATTCCGATCGTGAGCCTCCTTTGAAAATTGGGACTATGATGGAGCGGATCCAATCGGTTGGGACAGTTTCCTACTCCCACAGTTTGACTAGTAACTCGTGTAAATCATCCACAAGAGCAGGTCCCCCGAATTTGAAGAGGGCTGGAGGAAGGTCATCAGGTCCCGCGGCTTTATTTAACTTCAACAGTTTGATCTCATGTTCGACTTCTGAGCGAGAGGGTGGATCCAAAGGAACAGCCCACGGAGCAGGGCGAACACTGGTCGGCGAGAAATCTAACAATTCCGACCGATTAAATTGCCTTTCAAAGTGCTCAGCCCAATGTTCCAGGCGTTTTGATAAGTTGTGGATAGGCTGTCCACTCTCGTCACGTATAGTTTCACTAACACCAGGCCTCCTGCTGCCCGTTTCCCGTATCAGACGGAATAACGTACGATGGTTACCAAGGGCAGCGGCCATTTCCATCTCTGTTGCACGACGAGACCACAAGGATTCGCGGTCTCTCTTCAGGCTAGCACGGAGTTTCGCCCGGAGCTCTTTGCGAGTTTCATTGTGTTCGCTTCCAGCCGGAATATGCCGGCGAGCATCTATAAGTTCCAGAGACTGTGAAGAGACCCAATGTTCATGTTGGCGATTAGACATACCACATGAGGATTTGCCTGCTGCTAGTAAGGACTGTTGCATATGAGACCAGTGAGCTTCAATTGCATCCAATGAGCGTTTATCAAACTCGGATGACAGCGTAATTTGATAGGCGTTCAGAACAGCTGGCTTCGCCAGTTGGCTGGTGTCAATGCGCTCACAACATCGTCGCGGGCGTCCGCCAAAGCGCATCTGCAGGTCAACACATACAAGTGCATAGTCGGTGTCAACACCTGTGCTCCAAATCGAGCGACAGTTCTTGACGCAGCCTCTCCAGCGGTAACTGATAGCAATGTGATCGATTTGTGTCCAAAGCAGGTTCGAGGCTGGTGGGCGCCAAGTCACTCCCCTTCTGGTGCTGTGCCGGAAATTAGTGCTCGCAAGAAATAAGCGGGCATCTTCACACAAATGAAGTAACCGCTCACCGTTATCATTACGGGAGCCTATACCATGTTGGCCGCCTAGATGCAGCTCATCTGTGGATAATATTCCAACTTGAGCGTTCAGATCCCCAGCCAGCACTACAGTGTCCGAGCTTCTTCTGTGGCGAAGGAGTTCGTTCAGTTGGCGATAGAAGTCGTCTTTTACCGAGTCATCGCTACAGTTTGTCGGTTCATAGGCAGCGATAACGATTAGACACTTGTTAGTCCCACGCGACTTCGAAGTTTTGAACTAGCCAGCCAATCGGACCGCACACATCCGGCTACTGATGAGAATCCATTCAACTAGAGCAGCTTCAGCCCGGGGACTCAGGGCAATACCAACACCGGCTTGGCCGGTGCTCGAAGCTGCATCGTCACCGGATAGGCGCAATGAGAATGTGCTGCTTGCAACACCTGAAGGGGATCGCAGAGTGAGTACTGAGCTCGAGTCTTGCAGGCGGGTCTCCGATAAGCAGCAGATATCGATCGAGAGGGTCTTCAATGTTCGGGCAAGTGCTGCCTGTTGACCGATCTGAAGCAATGTGCGAACATTGAGGCATGCCAGTCTGAAGGAGGATTGAGGGCTCCAAATGGAAGCCGATGAACTGGAATGGGCCGCTTGCTTGGACATGGGCCTGCTGACAGTGCAGGAATGACGCTCTACGTTCACCTGTGAGTTGAAACTAAAAGGCAAGCGACTATTGAAGCAAGGTGGGGGAGGGCCGAGAATTGGGGGGTTGAAAACAGGGGGGATAAAAGTAAAGCTGGAACGGGACGATAACGGTGAAAAAGCGCAAGAAGGGAAATAAGAAAATGGGAAGGCTTGAGCAGTAGCATCCAAACCCCTCTCCACCCTGCTCGATGCAGCAGATAGGGCACCGTTGATTATCCTCTGCGGTGGCGAGAGCATCAGAAATTTGTTTGGGGAAAGATTCATTGTATTGCGTGGGCCGGATACTGTCAGGTTGCCCAGGCCTAGACAGGAGAACGATTAGGGTTCTCAACCAAAGCCTTTGGTTCAAAAACCTGGCCGCAAGGCAGCGGGTTTGGCACTGGACTACAAGGAGTCCATTTTAAGGAACAAGGTGCCATCCTCATTCCAACCCCCAACCTGGAGGACCAGGAGGCTGTGTTTGTCTGGCCTCTAACCATTGACCAATCTGGTATGAGTGGCTCTGAAGGTGCAAAAGCACCACCCAGCGTAGCTCAATGGATCGCTGAGGCACACAAACCATCGCACGACGGTAAGGTCCAGCCTCATTGCGATGGTGATCGTCGTCCTCTGTTCCACGTATTATACTCTTCTCTGGCCTTGCGTCTCCATGCCTGTATAACTCATTCAAATTTCTGTCCGATCAGGCGCTGAATTTCTTCGCTTCTTAGCATTAATATGCCACCTATTTCTATACCTTTTTTTGGATTAAATCCTCATAGCCTGTTCGGTTACTCCACAGACTTCGCTGTGCTAACTATCACCCTGCACTTCCGTCTTCTCAGTCTACTCTTAAGCATGGGTTTCTCACTCGTACGGGATTCACATCTTCCTGTGTATTGACAATTCGGCAGCACCCCAGCCCGTTTGCAGTTACGTAGCAACGAGTCAATATCGCCAAGCACTGGTGTGTTGCTTGTGCATATTTTTCTTACCAAT